TAGAGCTGTTTTGGTGGTTCCCATCTTTGCCCTCCCAGGAAAGTCTATGCCAGGGTGCTGGGAAAGAGAGCACATATCTACATGGATATTAAAGTCACTCGCTATATTTATTTTATCTACACTGATAAAAAGTCTGAGAAAACTGAATAGGAACAAACTCTTTCTCCCGGGTCAGAGTATGTTTAATATTTAATGTTGAAACCCTGAATTAACTGTTTGTTAACTTCTTTCTGAGTCATTTTTTTAATCACTCCCATTCTTCACAGGTAGCAGATGACTCTGGATCAGTTTCCTTTTCTGTGGATCTTTGGACTCTCCTGTTTTCACCACTCTGCCTATACTGGAACCACACCCCACAATGTTCTGCCTTAACAGCCATTCCACCTTAAACAAACCACCTTAACAGCCTTGCCAGCTTAACAAACATTCCACCCTAACGCAGGTGCTCTCTCTGACTGTTTTCTGAATTTTTGTTGTTGTTCTTTATTCTCAAACAATCAAATATCTTCAAAGAATTACCGCTAAGAAAAGTTAATATCTTTTTTATATCTCTATCTTTTTTTTTAACTAAATGACATTTTTAGATTTTTGGGTCTCTGTTGCCTTTATCACACAGCACAGTGGAGAAAGAGAGGAAGGACGCAGCAAAGGCTCTCGGATCAGTTCTGCCTGGTCGCTGCGTCTGGTTGCCTTTAGCTGTGAGCTAAACCTGAGTCTGAATCTGAGTCTGTAAACCTGTCAGTGTTTACTCATCATGTTTATGGCATTCAACTCTCAGATTTAAAGCAAACAGATTTTTCACAGAGGTGCAGAATTCCTCGTTTGAAATTAAATCAAAAAAGAGTTTATTATAATCTTTAAAAAGTGTTATTCTCCAAACCTAGGAGTAATCTGGAAATGCTGCTCCCTGATTCCAACTCCACCCAAGGACAAAAACTTTTAGCAGTCTAAACTCTACGCAGCCGTTTGTTGACTTCGGCAGTGAGCCACGCCAAAATAAAGGTCCCTAATGTTCCCTGCCCAATATGAAAGTCAAACAACAGATACATTTCTAACACAAGGTCCCACTCAAACAAGAGAAAACAGATTTCAACAGAAAAGGCTTCTCATTCATATCAGGCTGCTGCCGTGTTTAACATATAGTGAAAGAATACTCCAGGTTGTTTAATTTACAAAACTATTAATAACTATTTACAAAGAGCTTGATTAGGTCTCACAAGGCCACACACACAAGTTCACTCACTTTACTCAGTAATGAACTTTTTGACTCAGGAGTTTCACACAGAGAACACTCAAAAGTTACCATGAGAAACACACAGCTTGTTGTCCAGTCTGGGAACAGGAATCCAAGCAAACAACTCGGCTGTCAAGATATACCCACACAGGACCCTGGGAGGGAGGAGAGAGAAAAACCCACACCCACATTCTCTGGTGGGAAGGGTCACACATAACAATGATACTAAAATCAGTCAGGGCTCTAGACTAACTTTTTGCCACAGTTGCCTGGTGCACCTAACGTTTTTTCCTTAGGTGCACCAGCACCTGTCAACACAAAGTTCTTTATTTGGAGCACATTTCTACAAGAAAGACAAGTTACTGAAAAAATGTGTTTAAAGTGCTTCACTGAGCTGAAATGTAAACTTAAAACATCTCAAGATATATTCAATAAAAAGAAAATGTAAATTAAAAAGACCTCAAAGTGTCTGACAGGCCTCAAAATGAACATCTCAGTATCTGAACAGCTTTATATCTTATGGACCCTCCTCCATTACAGTCACATGGCCCTCAGATGGCCAACTCCTGTAATCTGGCCTTTTCCCCCTTTTTTCCCATGTGTCTGTGATGACACCTGTAACCTGGGCTCACGTGACATCATTACTGTACATGGGATTTACCTTCAAGACATTTTTCTTGTGAAGAATTATTTTGGACTTGAACTTAGTGATCAGAACATCTTCTTTGGGAATATCGTAGGCAATGTTAAACTTGATCATCACATCGACCTCCTGTGACGACCTGTTTGCTGCCGCTGAAAGGCAGTGGGGAGAAGGGAAACTTGGCCAGTGCATTTATCGCAGCATATAATGTGTTTTCTGAATACACTGTTTCTTTTTGAAACGTATTAGCTGCAGTCACAAATGCAGTATTGCCGGCCACAGTTTCTTCACACTCACTGCAGGAAATGCAGTGCATCATGTTGTCAGCTTTACTGTATCTTAGCCAGGGAAACTGGCCAAGCCGCTCTCTTCCCAACGTATACACTTTACGCTTTTACTGTCAGCGGGCTCTGAGTCCATCATATGTGGCTCATTATCTGATGCCGTCTCTGGACCAGTGTTAGACATAACCTGAGAGGTTGATGGCTCCGTGTCAGAGCACTTGCTATGAGTTTCAGAGCAATCAGGCCTTAACGAAACAGTTATCAATCGTTCTTTTCATCTTTTCTCATTACCCACAGCTACAGCCACTTCTATCGGGTCTAGGCTGCTCACCTCTGTCTATCTGCCTGCACCTTCAAATGTATACACATGTAGGCCTACATGTGGACCATGACCAATCACTATCTCTGATTGGTTTAGACCACGATACAGGCATAATGTGTGATGTTTTCTTTACTTGAATGACTGGTTGCACCGGTGCGACCTAGGATTCTTTTAGTCACACCACTGAGAAGTTAGGTCGCATGTCACACTCTAGAGCAGGGGTGGGCAATCTCAGTCCACGAGGGCCGGTGTCCTGCAGGTTTTAGATCTCACCTTGGGTCAACACACCTGAATCACATGATTAGTTTGTTACCAGGCCTCTGGAGAACTTCAGGACATGTTGAGGAGCTAATTTAGCCATTTAAATCAGCTGTGTTGGATCAAGGACACATCTAAAACCTGCAGGGACACCGGTCCTCGTGGACTGAGATTGCCCACCCCTGCTCTAGAGCCTTGTTTATGTTGATGCATTAAAAACCTCAAATCTTTTTTTTTAATGAAACAAATGTTTCTCACATTTTTTTTTTCATTTTGAAATAAAAATTTCAAAGTGTTACAACTTTTGATTATATGAGTTTTTAAAAATTACAGCTATCCTCTCACAAACTTTCTCTTTCATTCAAACCATAAATATGATTGCAGCTTTAAAAGACGCTGCTGGAGGAATAAAATTCAGGAAATTCCAGGAACATGATCGAAAGTTTTTCTTTCTTTTTTTTTAAAAATTAATTTAAAACTTATTTTCCTGACGACAGTGTTGGATTGCAGATATTGATTGTGTGTTTTTAATGTGTTTATTACTGAAATGTAATTTAAGGAGTTTATTTTACTGTTTATTTATTAGCTTAAAGTGAAAAATGTGTATGTTACTTTTGTCATCCAGCTAGAAATGATCATGCGTCAGTGTGTTTGTGCGTGTGTTTGTGTTGTGGTTGTTGTTGTGGATCTGCAGTAAGTTTACAGAGCGGCGAGGCTGATGAATGACAGCTTCAAAGTGACACGATCAGCTGATGGCAGATGTTGTGAACAGGAAGTTAGTGGCGTGATGTCAGCCAATCAGAACATCATGTTTTCTGCAGTGTTTGTGGTCACTTTACATCTCCAACATTGTATTGAAAGCAAACTAAAGCACATCTGTTTGTAAGTGTTTATTGATGTATTGGTGATGTTTATGTGCGGCTAATGAAAGTGTTTATTATAACTATGTTCATAATGTGCTGTAAGAACAAAGTGATACTGAAGTGATTCACAGGTTGTTGTAAAGACATCGAACATCACGTGTTTCTGAACATGTCAAATAAAGTGAAAAATTGAGTGTTTATCTGACATCAGGAATAGTGTTTACTTCTTAATCATTTATTTAAACACTGGAAAAATTTGAGATCGGATGATTAAACTGATAAATGGGCCAACTATTTTTCATATACAGGTCAGTGATGTATCTGGCTTAAGTAGTTAAGCTCGTGATTAATTACAACAGCTGTAATCGGGTTTATGTGAACTATTGGCATCGTTATTTATTCATGTTATATTTTGCACTCTGTTTTTGTTGAGATGGTGTACGCATCTTCAATACATTTGCTATTTTAACTGTCTTAAGGAGTGGAAAGTCCCTTCTATTTTTTTTCTGTTTCTTGTAAAAAAATCTAATAAAATTCAAGTCTTAAAAAAACACTGGAAAGATTCTAGAATAACATTTATAAAACAGACTTTTAATCAGCCTCTCATGAACTGCCACTTTACCGTGACACTTTGGGGGTATCCAAATTCGTGGGCTACATCCTCCTGAGGCCGCATTTGTTGGCCGACATGCCGAAGGCTGTCCAAACTCGTAGACTCCGACAAATGCAGCCGACAAATGCGTCCTCATTTTCTCCAAATTTGAACGATTGGTCGGGTGTGTCCTTCGTGGCCTACAATATCCCAGAATTCATAGCAGCCAAGCTCCAGTTTCCAACAATGGCGGCCGCTACTAAGTTTTTAACATTACTCTTATTAATCTTTCTGGGTCACAAAATAAACTTTTAACATGTTATAAGGTGAGAAAGTAGCTGTGTAAACTTCAAATATCTGCTCGGTTTATCAAGACATCGCATATTTGTAAAAGTGCTCCGACGTTTTCAGAGACCCACCACCTCGATAGCTGACCGGGGCAACAACAGCAAACTCCCTGCACATCGTTTTCACATCCCCGCCGTCTTTCGCTACTCAGGTTAAAGGATATATAAGTCACTCAGATAACTTAAAAATGTTATTATTTGGCTTTTTCAGTATTTTATTTGTTCCTGAGTAAATCGGTTTGGCTGAGATCAAAGTTCTAGTTTTTACACAGCTGAGTGTGAGACGGTCGAGAGTTTACTCCAGTGTCCTGTTATATTGCAGATAGCAAGGAAGAGACGGCTGAGCTTAGTAAATTTTAATCAGCGAATTCTCTAAAATATATTTATCAATAGGAACTAGTCAAGTAAACTTGAGATGTACCTTCAGTATCTTCGTCTCTCACAAGATGTGCAACCTTTAAAATCTCATAATTTTTAGAACGTTTCATTTCTGTTCAGTTAAAATATCTTAACATACAAACACGAACTAGTGGAAACTTATGCTGTTTACAGGAATTTAAAATCACCTCTTTTTCTATTCTTATTAAATACATTTTTGTCGCTGTAGTCTGATGTGTTCAGACCAAAACAAAGAACCTTTAAAAACTTTAATCGGTTCAGTACCTCCGGGCCGAATTCATTGATTAATTGTCAAACTCACAAACACACATCAAACTCTTTGTGCTGACAGATTTACCCTTTCCGGGCTGAATTATTCACGCATGAACATATTTTCCGTTATATTCACTCATTTTAACTTTTGACACACAAATTATTGTCTGAATCCAGTTTGTTTTCTGTTTTCTGCTGTAGATTTTTTAAATGCGTCAGTTCTCACTAAAGTTGGATGTTTATGATGTTGACTTCAGGCTCTATTGTTTCTTCTTAGTCAATATTTATACTGCAAGACTGTCTAGAAACAAACACACTAATCATACAAATCCTCTTATTTACTCACCATCATTCAATAACTTTAAAATAATCTTCAGCAATATTTTACCAATAATATGACAGGGTTTGTTTGAGATGTTCATGTGAAGCCTTGAGTAGTGTGAATGCTATATTTGAAATAAAAAAAAAACATTACTAAAATTCTGTTTTATAAATAAAAACATGTTTGCTCTGCAGGCTAATTTTGTGATAATGCAGCGGAATTTTATAATGACACTAGGATATGTTTTACATATTCAGTGGTACGTTACAAATATACAGAAAATCATTAGAATTATTTATTGGAGTACTGTATATTTTTGTATTTGAAAACAAAACCGATTGTGGCAGAGGTAAAACAGTCAAAACATTTAATTATAGATTTGTTTGTGCTAATACAATATAAACTCTGACAAAATATCTTCTGAATATTCCAGTTTTTACATCCCGGCCCAAACCAGACATGGCTTCTAATATCTGTAAACGTGAGTCCATCAGCTGATTTGGTCCTGCTCAGCACCTTTTACTTCCTGTCCAAGTTGAAGATTTCTTGGCTTTCAGTGAGAATGAACTCCACAATCTGATTCTGATACACCATGTTGACCGCCATGTTTCCGGCATCCAGTTCAGGCCACATCAGCGTTGGACCGAACACGATTCCGATGCCCTGAGTGGACATCAGGTTCTTCCTGGAAAAGGCCAGAACTCTGCAAAAGGAAAATGCAAACGTTAACATTATCTAACAAAGCATCAAACAGTGTGCTATGTGCTACCCATCCTGAGTTTATAAATACAACCCTTTCTGATTGTGTGAACTTCAAATCAAATCAAATCACTTTTATTGTCACAGCACATGTGAGTGAAATTCTTGTGTGCAAGCTTCACAAGCAACAGCGGTGTGAAAAATACAAGAAACATAAGATACAAGCCAAATATAAGGACAGGAATGTAAGAATTATCACTTGTTTGTAAAGTAATATGTGCAGTGGTTTATTCCACAGTATTCCACCTGAACACTGTAAATGCTCCTAACAGGTGAGGTTCAGGTGTGCGTTGGATTACTTGTGCAGGTGGCTGAAGAGAAGCTTCATGGTGTCATGGTTGGGTTTGGGCAGCTGCTGTATCAGTTTCTTCACAGCCTGAACTTTTTGTTTGGGTTCTTTGATCTCTGTTAAAACAAATGACAGCAGCATTAGTTTAACCTTTAGGTTTCTAATTGAAGTTTAAACGTTTTTAAACTTGGGAGGGGGGGGGAAAGTCTGGTTCAAGCAGTCTGGAGATTCTGTCCAAATACAAGTCTCATTCTTAAAGTGACCTGACCAAGAGCAGCAGAGATTACAGAAATAACAGAACCATTTTATAAAGTCATCACAAACTGAAGATTTATAACAAAGGCATGTTTTACTCACTGATGGCCTCCACAAAAGGCTGGAAAAACCTAAATGGAAACAGTGGCTCCGGCAGTTCACGGAAAAACATTTTGAGGGCTCCGGTGACGACGTGGACATCCTCCCACTGACTGTGTTCCAGGTCCAGGTCCTCCTCTGTGGGACAACCATGGAAATATTACTGAGCAGGA